AGTCAGACAAATTTAATTACTCAGTAATTTAAACAACAAATAATATCAATATTGAATTTAAGAGTTACTACCTTATTAAAAGTGTTTCTTTACGATCCATGATTAATTGAAGACATTTGTAATGGATAATTATTTAACTATATTAATACCTTTTGTACAAGATTTTTGTATTTATTTACTAACACGTTGAATACTAATATTCTTCAGTATGTAGTTTAATATAATAATATTTTTGATATTTATATTAAGTTTAGAGTAATTTCACCTAAATATCTAGACATCAATATAAAACTAAAAAAAGTTTTACTTAATTGGCATAATTTTATGTTTATTAAATCTTTATCTCACTTTTGTGAATTATTATTAACTGTAAAAAATTAAGTTTCTGATGATTTCATATCAAAATAATTACATACAATTAAGTGATTTCTTTGATGAAAATATAATAATATTAAATTATTATACAGGCTCAACACATTTTCATGTTTTATAAACAATATACAAACAACTATTTTGTTTCAATAGATAAAAATAAATAATTATTTATTTATTTGATAAATGTACATGGAAATTACCTGCATCCACTTACTTATTTCTAAAGTTATCGACTATTGAAAGACTATATTATATTATATTCGTTTTTTCTAGTTAAATTGTAAGTTATTTAAAAATGGAAAAAATGCATACGGCCAANTATATTGTATTATATTCGTTTTTTCTAGTTAAATTGTAAGTTATTTAAAAATGGAAAAAATGCATACGGCCAACGTGACAAATACAATTTTATTATTTGAAAAATTAATAAAAAGCACTGAAAAGAGCGATGTAACAAAAGTGATTATCACAAAAACAAAAAAAATTGAACATAATTTTGATTTAAATCGGCCAAATCAAAAAGATGATCAAACAATTATATCTAGCGACGCCAAAGCTCCCAATTTTACAACTCCAGTAATCAATAAAAACGGGGAGCTCAAAAAGAAGAAGTTTAAAGGTGAGTCAAGGGTACTTCCAGTTAAATTGATTAGTGATAAAGATAGCAGCAGCCCCATTTCTGAACGCCAATTAAACATTAAAACTGTAAATAAATTCAAATNGTGAGTCAAGGGTACTTCCAGTTAAATTGATTAGTGATAAAAATAGCAGCACCCCCATTTCTGAACACCAATTAAAAATTAAAACTGTAAATAAATTCAAAAATAATGATACAATATTTGTAATTCACCAGCCATTTTTTTAATTAGATTGTTAATAAATAAATAAACTAGTTAATTATATATATAACCAATAGAAAATATTAATTTGCCAACCCTATAAGTTGTAATAGATGATACTAAAAGTAATTAGTATCTTATAAATAATGTAATATAGGCAATTATAATATTTAAAATTGATTTTAAAAANTAGGCAATTGTAATATTTAAAATTGATTTTAAATGTAAATGAATAGGGTTATATTAAACTTATTCTTAAAATATATAGTATTTATTACTTCAGATAAGGCAATTCCAATTGTCAAGTATATAGTTATATTTAAGAATAAATAATAAATAAGCAGTTTTGCATTTAATTTAAAATTATAAATAGTGATTTGTTTTAAGGAATTTCGAAAAAAATTGCTTATTTTGAAAAGAAAGCAACAGAAATTAAGAATTCTAACAATATAGTGATCAAAAATCAAAGGGAAAATCTATGGGGTAGAGTAAATAAACGAAACCAAATTAAAGATACAATTCAGGTAGGAGGTAATAGTGACCAATACGTACTAGGAAGAAGACAATGCAAACATGACCAAAACATTACAGAGGAAGAATACAAAAATGATATTGATAGTAATATAACTAATTACGTAATAGAAAGAAGCGAACATTTTCGAATTATAGATAAGGCTGAAGGCCACATACAGGAGGAAATAGATTTTATACACGAACAAGATGTGACAGAGAGGAGCAAATCAGATAAAAACATTAGGATGACAGATAGCATAGTATTAAGTAACTAATCAATTCAAGTAGAAGGTAATGGTATAATTTATGTATAATAGTAATGGTATAGGATAAGTTATAGTAAATGTATATGATAAATTTTATATAAAAAAAACGAATTACCAATATACTCATAAATAAAATATTGTATTAAATATTTTCATAAATAAAAACTATTATCTTACATTTTTATTTTTTAATTTATTATACTATGATTAAATTAGAATAAATTTTATTAAAATATTCAATAGATATGTGTCCTCCTACTAATTAAATGTTTTTTAAAATCAAACTTTTTCTTCGAATAAAGTTTTAAAAACGGCAGAGCTGTGTAAAAACATATTGTTTCCAAAAATTGTAATTCAAAAAACTTGGCCTCATAGGTCGAGTGGGAAAAATGTAAATGAATAGGGTAATAATAAACTCGTTCTTCTTCTTATAATATATTTCGAACAAAATTCCTTTTTTTGAAAAGAAAGTAATAGCAATAAAGAATTCTAACATTACTATGATCAAAAATCAAAGCGAAAATCTATGGGGTAAAGTTAATAAACTAGACAAAAATGAAGAAACACTTCAAGTAGAAGATAATGGTGAACAATTCGTACTAGGTGAAAGAGAATACAAGCAAGACAAACCCATTTTTTAAGACGATAACATGCCAAAAACGACAAAAGTTAATAAAAAGAAAAGAAAAGGAAAGGAAAAAATTTTCCTGAGTAATGTGTAATAAATCAAAAATAAAAAGAAAGAAAAAAAAAGAGAGAAAAGAAATAGTTAGAGGTAGTAGATTATTATAGTTATTATTTTTACATAAGTTTTTTGTAGATCTAATGTCTTCAAATTTATTTAAATTAATTTTTTCATTAATTGTTTCTCTCATTAATTATTAAAGGTTTATCAAGCAATAGAATGTTATAAAATCGAAAGCATAGGTTAAATAGTACTTAACTTTNTAAGTTCGAAAGCATAGGTTAAATAGTACTTACCTTACATCCTATGTAATACAATAATATTTCAAGTAATCCAGTGTTGATTTCCGCATTAAACTTACTACGGTATACGATTTACACTATACGTCATATTGTCTATATAATTACTTACAAAAAAAAACGATGCAAGACTTTAAATAATATGATTTAATTACACAAAATCTACAACTGGTCTTACTTGTAAATGATTCTAAACACTCTATGTTTTATTATAAATACAATTTTAATTTTTTTACTTATTGATTTTTTTTTACGTCTGTTGAATAAGTATTTTTTTTTGAGAGATCGACACCAATTTTTTAAAAATTTTTCTATGGCCTGGCCAAAACAAAATTCAGAAATATTTATATCTATGTAAAAAAATGATCAAGGCGGAATTGTGGTGGCCCAATTTTTCCCGGCGCTAACGTCTTGAAAGGATTCGGCACAATAATCACCAAGACAAAAATTAAACACTTAAAATATATTCGTAAGTTTCTTTGCATTGTCTGCCGGCGCGATGTTTATTAAAACAAAGACATTAGTAACGAGTCTAGCTAACCAATAAGTATAGGATTGCAATACACTCAGTCAAATAAAATTATCATTAAATAAATTTAAATCTCAATTTAAATTGAGAAGATTGTGACCTTTAACTCTGCTGCCGGCGCGAAGTTTGTTAAAACAATGACATTAGTAACGAAACTAGCTACCCAATAAGAAAAGCTTACAATAAATTTTTATTATTAAATAAAAATTTAAAGTTAGGTTGGATTTGTTATTAAAATAAAATAATTTTAAGAAGATGTAATGTTTAAAATATTATTTGATATTTATTTCAACAAAAAAAATAAAATATTATTCGTAGATTTTGTGTATTTTAAAATCGCCGAAAGAACTGGTTTAGATGGATAAAAATGGCTTTTTATAGTCTCAAAGGGGTAGCCCAGCGACCCCTACCGCGATCCTGGAAGCTGAGGCTTTGTATTCTAATTGGTTAATTAAAATGGGGTCCTTGCGTGTAGGCGTTACTTAATAATTTCTACATGAGGGAGATTTTATCGCATAATTAAAGGGTTATTATGTATTTTAAATAGGAGAATCCTGTTTTGGTGATCTTGTATAATCATAATATGTGACATACATGTAAAAATGATAACATTATATTTTATGTTAATATTATATGTAATAATATAATATTACAAATGTGAAAAATTAAACAATTGTTTACACTCCAAATTATTTCAATACAACTCTTAAAAATGAAGATTAGCATTTAAGTTAACGCATAAAATTCTTTAAAAAAAAAAAAAAAAACAAAAATAGGAAAATAAATTAATCTTACAACAATTATATGTATTAAATAATAATTTTAATTGGTCTAAATATACATATTTAAAAGTAAATATATTTAATGAGATGTAATCAACATTCTTAATTAGATCATAAAAGAAATCGAGTGGATAGCGTTAAAAGAATCAGTTTATATATGCTGAACAAAATGAATATCAAAAAAAAATTATTTCTATTGAAGCCATAATTAGATGTATAATTTATTAAGTTTAAAAAACATTGCACTGAAGTTTATAGATTTAAAATTTAATTTCATTGTAAGTAATCATTTATAAAATTTAATTTAATATCATTGTTTGTGGACCTAGTGAAATAGGTTTTTAGATTTTCAGAAAAAACCAAGTCGTATCGTAACAAATATACATACAAATTTTGATTTAGCACCAAAAAAAAATTATCTATAACAATAATAATTAATATAATAATAATATACGTCAATTGTCTTGATATTGAATGATTTAAAAATCTTAAGCTTTTAAACATTTAAGTTAAACCAGTATGGAATTCTCAATATTTCTTCTTTTCAAAATAATATTTAAATAAACATTTATGTCACAGAAAAATATGAAATTGTTATACAAATGGATCTATTACAAATCTGAATTATGTTATTACTAATAAACTAATTTTAAGTAGTTAGTAAACTGTTTTAATAATAAATCAGATAATCTTAGGTAACAATATTTCATCGCTAATTATTGGGTATCAGTTTTTTACAAGTTTCCTCAACTACAATTTCATAACTATAAAAATTAAATACTAATATTAATTTAATAGCAACTGTAATCAAATTAATGGGTCGCTAAAATACAAAATAATTTGCTGCTGAACTTCAAATTAAGTATCATTTTATGAAATCATCAAATATAATGAATGAAAAATATCTATGTTAAACTTATTAAACTGAACATAATTTTTCACTATTGACCTTTAAATTTATATTATAATTTAGAATATATATTCATGTATGTAGTTAGTACTGTGTACTATTATATTAATTAATAATATGGTACTTCTAAATTTTAGTATAAGTTTTAGTCAATATATATGATAAACTGCATCTATAAAAACGAATTTCCAATAGACACATAAATAAAAAATATCTAGACATTTGTCATTTAGTTAACAAACGTTTTATCGTAGATGACGTTTAGGTAACCATTTATAAAGTCATCGG